TCTGTGCCGCCTTGGTCTTGGTGCCCATATAACCACAAACATGGGTCGACTTTGTTTGATCTTTTAAAGGGACACAAGCCTGCAGCTCCCTTCGTGTGAGATGTCCTTCTTTAAAAAGATTCTAATCTCGCCTGAAATGTCTGGCAAAATAGAGGTCGGGGAGCCAGAGCAGGCTGCCCACAATAGCAGTTGGCCGGAGACCCGTGTGTGGATTTGTTCCTGTTTTAGAGGCAGACAGAGCAATATAAATCCATGGAATTCAGAAAGATGGGAAAAGAACACCATTGCTATAGTACTTAACAATTCAGAACTAAATATTTTATCTTTTGAATGATCAAATGTCCTCAGTCCATATCATGGGTTTCAGTGTCTGTAATAGGGAACATTTGAGGAGATTTTGCCCATTTAAAAGATATAATATTGTGTTTTGAATTGGTATTTTGCTATGGAAGTTATCCTAATTTTTCATCATTCTGAAATATCCATGGATAACAGATTTTATTTTTTTTTTTCACATTCCAGCATTTGTCATATTATGTCCAATATGATATCATTTTGTATGGAGATTTTGAAAGAACTATTTAACTTAAATGTTCTTAATAGATACTGTTCTGTGCTCAGAATGTTCATGACGAGGCTGATCATTTTTATGTGCTTTAAAAGCTTTATAGTTGTCCTTTATTCATTCATGCCCTGGAGCTGAATACTTGGCCATCAGTCTGTGCCACCAGCCATATCACCACCACAGCCTTAACCACCGTCATTCCATGAGAAATGTACAGTATGTGCAATGACTTTGTTGACAGTGTAAATTACAATTTCTCTACTTTCTCCATAGCTCTAACTGCACACGATATTCTAATTTCGCGTATTGATTTTGCGTACCATAACAACCTGTATTATATACTGTATTCACAAGCTAGTTTCCTTCTGCTCCTCACCTCTTTTCATATTCCTGATACAGTGCTTTGTCTGCTGGAGACCCTCACAGCAGCAGGTCCTCCTCTCCCATAGATAATTCAGGCACCTCCGCACAGTGCATGGTGCTCATGATTCAATGACAAGCTCTATTCAGCCCTAAACTCGCAGCCCCTCCCTTGAATTCTGATTCGATTGGTTTATCAAATTTTCTGGTAAATGCTTGAAATGTATTCCAGCACACCTTCATCTAATGAAGCTGCACTGGGGAAGCGTGCCAAAGACAGAGAAATGAATACTTGTGTATTAGCTCCACACTTACTCTCTTTGCACATTACACTTTTAGGCACTGACTCGGATCCTCCATATTTTCCACTCAAACTCAAATTAAGTCTGTACATCCTCTGGAATCACATTCAAATGCACCTCAGAGCGGCTTTACATTTCCAGCAACACAAACAAAAGATCCTGCAAATAAGGCACATTTTTAAACATTAACTATTGCAACATGGTAAAAATTTACCAATGATTTCTTTGTATTTGTTTTTCTTAATTGGATTTTTAAATCGGGATTAAACAGCCTTTCAGTGATTGATTCATAAAATAAATAAGCTTTCAAACAAACAAGGCTTCCTCACACACAGCCCTTTCATCTTGAGCTGGAGCCATTATAATGACATCTTCCCAGACAATTAAAATGACCCAGCTGATCTAGTGCTGTCGCGTCCTGTGAGCCTCTCCATTGTGTGTGAGGCCTAAGAGCCCAACACATCCACAGGCCCAGCTTTACATACTTGATATTCATAGAAAAGAACAACGCTAAGTAAATGCCCTCCAATCACTTTTCTTTTTGCTCAAATGAACATGAACAATCGGGAGGAATAAGCCGCTGCGGGCCGGCAGACAGGAGCGGCTCTGCGCACCAGACTACTGAGATCCCTTATATGTAAAAAGCGGGAAATTAGTGCATTAAGCATGCTGCGCCAGTGCCAGAAATATGCACTGAATTGATGAGGTGTCACTTTCACTAAGAGTCACACTATTGCACTGACAAGAGGCTCTCTGATCCTTCCCTCCTCCCATCTCTGCCCCACACAAGACACAAACTCTGACGGCCACAAATATGCCCTTGGTTTTAGGAAAGGTTATCTCGCCCTCTTTAACTCTGTGCATATCATGGACACATGTGACGCCAACTACTGCAAGCTCCAACTTCATATATCCTATTTGACATGTTTTACTTTTTATCTTTCGTGGAGGAAGGAAAAAAGAATGCTTAAAACTAAAAAGCAACAAGTGACATTCTTACTCTAGAAATTGTTTTCAGTAAAATGATTGAAAGAAGGAGCACCATTACCACCACAGTCTCAGCAGATGTCTGTGTTATACAAAGAGCATTTCCAAGCAGCTCTCATGTATTAAAAACAATACCTGCAGGCGTCTCCCTCTGACAGCCTTTATCCACATGCTCATGCATACACATACATACATATACATAGTCACACATGACACTCACTGGTTCAGATCAGTTAAGTTGTTAATGACGATAGACTACAGCAGTACAGATCAGGACATACATGAAACCAGTTAACAGCAGGAGTCTATTAGAAACACACAAGCCTCTGTCAAAGCCTGCCACAGTCAAGGAGAAGTTGTTCTAATGCTAATATGTTACATAGTAATGAGATATTTGATAAGTGTGCTTAGTATTGCAATGACATGATTGCAATATTTCAATATAGTAAGTTCCATTAAAGAAAAAATGTGGTAAACATTTTGATAAAGCACTTTTCCACCTTCAAGGCACTCAAAGCACTTTACATCAAGGAACCACTCACCCATTCACACACACACATTCACCAGTGTACACAGGCACAGGGGAGTGAGGTGGGCTACGTCTCTTTCACAATGACACAACAACAGCATTCACACTGCCAAACTGTGAGTCAGTGTACCTGTCCGCTCTGCCAGTGACGTTTATGTTGGGACCAGGATTCGAACTGCGAACTCGAATTAGCGGACAAAATATCTACCAACTGAGCTACTGTCACCCCCTATACATAATAAGATCACCATTGTAATTTTGCTCATTGTAATATTGATGTAAAACTGCTTAATAATAGAAATTTGTTTTCATTGACTCAAAACTCACAACAGAAAACTGTCCCACCTCTTCATAACGGCATTTCTGTAACAAGCACCTGCTTGTCATTTACATTTTTGTAACATTTTGTAATTTTGTAACACTGTGACACTTTAGAAATTGTGACAAATTTGTGACATTTCAGAAATATTTTTCAAAAATTAAAACCTCCCTCTAGTGTAAGCATGGATCAAACAAATTACAACTGATCAATATTTTCTTGCACTGTGGATAGGCATGTCACGACAACATTTTTTTAAGTGCAATATATTGCTGAAGAAAATAGGCGATAAAAGATAATATTGAAAATAATGTCTGCCACTGACACCATAACCCTTAAATATAATTGTCCCCAAAAACTATTCTAAATCTACAATATGGTTACAAAACATGAACTGCAATAAAGAAACTGCAGAAAGAAACACTTTATCAAAAAGTTCCCCACTACTGCAATGAAAAAATATGAACCCTCAAAAATTAATATTCCATCTAACATAATCCAAAGATAAGTGGATACATTCATGGCCTTACCGTGACAGGCCTAGTTGTGGACATTGCGTAAACCAGTATCTTAATATAAAGTTGCTTCAGGTGTTGCTTCAGTAAAGTGTCCCATTGTTAAGTTGTATAAATGTGCAGTCCCATGTGTGTCAATGACAGATTGCCTTTTGAAACATCCTGAGTCTACGGGAGGTGCGTGTGGGGCCTTATCATCTGGCTGTTTTTCACTTAATTAACTTCCATCACAGCAGACGACTATATTTATATGGTCACAATTTGTTAATCAAAAGCATGGATGGTTGACTTTTGCATATTAGTTTGAAGATTTGTTGTGGAGTGTATTTAGGTCTAATTACGAGCGCTTACTCTGCGGACAGGAAGAATCCGTTCTGTGTGTATCTAAAGTCAGATCGTATATGATGAATTTATCAAGAGCCCCGAGAGAGAGGCATAAATGAGTTTGGAAGTAAATGAAGCAGTGCCATCCCTTTAAGAAAGAATATTCAGTCCACAGGCAAACAGCATACATCAGGTCATACGCCGGGCTAATTTAAGAACAGATCAATAAGAAGACATCTCCCTCCAGACTGCAGAAAGGTAAAGCCTAAATCTAATCAAGATGAATGCATAAACATAAACAAGTCGTGAATCCACAAGTCACAGCACAAATTAGAATAAAAAATACATAAAAAACTCATAATGACATCTCACTTTGATCTGCACAAGTCTGTGGGTGATGTTGAAGTGAAACATGTTTAATCCTGCTTAAATACAACAACATGTGGGAGTTTGTTTGAGAGTGAAGCATTAGTCCATGGTGTGAATAATGCATTGATATATTGAAAGAATAAATGTGTACTGTTACTGTAACTGCCTATTTGCATATCTGGAGGTGCTTTGAAGTAGAGCTGGGAGATGTTGACCAAGTGGATATGTTCAGTTGTTTGTTTTGTTTTTTCAAAATCAATAATCATATCATATTTTTGCAGTTCTTCATAAAATGTGCCTTAAATGTCTTGGTTGAGTTTTTTGAATGTTTTGGTGAAATAAATAAATAAATAATTAAAGCTTTTTTGCAATTTGGGGAGATTGCAAGATGATTTTCAGATAAAATTCATAAACTTATATTGTGAAATTGGAAAAAAAATCATAAAATAAGCTGAAATAAATACAAAAATAATATTATTAACTTTTTTTAATGTTCAATATTTAACACTTGAAGTTATTGCGAATGTCAATAATTTAACTAAATTTAACTAAATTTCACATGGGTATTTTGGCAACGAAACAAGTTGTAGCCAATATCTTGGGCAGCTCCACTTTGAGGACTTGTATGTGAATGCTGTGGTTTGCTGCTGTGGTTTCTGCTGTGTTTTGGACGAGCTCTTGTGTAGGAGATGGATGGTACACAGATCTGCAGGAACAGCGCTGGCCTTACCTCATTAGTGTTCCATCGGTGTCTCTCTTTTGGCAGCGACGTGCATTTTGGTAGACATTCAAGCAGCTTCTTGGGCAGGTATATTTTCAAATGTCCATGTTCATCTGAAACAAAACAAGCCGCACATTTAGTAGTGGCTCCGTAGCTTATATTGACTCGCTTGTCTCCCTCTTTATCAGCCTATCAGTCTCCCGGCAACAAATGCTGACTCGAAAATGAAAATTCCCAAATGAGCGAGGAAATTAATTTAAGAATAGGCTACTGCATATATTTTACTTGGCGCTAGACTAAATTATTTTACTGTGAAATGCGTGCTGTCAGGGGACTTCACTAAGAATTTTTCATTGTCAACTTGTAAAGACGGCTACTATTCATTATTTAGATGCAATAACGCCCTTGAGTGGTTGTGGAGTGTATAGGGATTTACAATGGGAAATCTGTGGCCCTTACAATGCAATGTGCTTACATCATTGTGTGTGTCATTCAGCCTATAATTCACATTACGGATTCAGTTCACAAACAAAGTGCTCCCAAGATAAACCAATGCTGTTTTATGCTTTTTACTCATATTTGCCAATAGCATAAATAAGAAACAAAACACTGTGTTAAAACAAGCCAACTTTCAATCACTATTCCGTGTGTCATTTTCTCTAGGGGGTCGGTCTAAGCCTGTTTGCTTATTATCCTCAACAATTAAGCGATTAAAGAACAATATATAGAACAGCAATGGGCTAGGATGCAAGATTAATTGTATTGATCGTAATTGCATCAACATTGTAATTGAAAAGCAATTAGCAACAACTGCAATTTATTTTGTTAAAGGTCCTATATTACTCACAACTGACTCTTGTGAGCTTTAAAACATGTTTGAATGCTGAACGAATGATACAAAACATAAATCCAGGTAAATTTTTGATGAGGGAACAACATTATAACACAGATCAGGAAATAGCCCTTAATATAATGTCCTACCTAAATATCCCTGTGTCTCCATTTCTTTCAGTGGATAAAAGCTACTAACTTTGTAGTTTAGACCTCTAAAAACATGCTCAGTTGTCCATGTTTTTCTTGCTTTTTTTAGTATTGGTTAGCAGTTTATGTTTAAATGTTAATGCTCCTGGACATTTTAAACTCAGACTGTGAAATTAATTTGAATTTAAAAAAATAAATAGCAAAACTGAAAATCACAATTATTTTTCCATTCAAATTGTCAAAATCCCTTAGCTACACTTGCTCCTATTTTAAAGATAAACAAAAATGAATCTGTGCGTCCCTGACTGAGCACCTTCTGTCTTGTCCAATGCATTTCAGTGTTTGAGGTTAATATGAATAAGATACATCTGAAAATGGCAATAAGCATCGGAGGCACAGATGTAGCAGCTAATCCAGGAAATGTTCCAGCTTGCGCAAATGAGCCTTTATTCTCTCTTCACTATGTAAATGAGCTTAGTACGCTTAACACGGAATTCTGGGTGTAATTGTAATATCATTTACGAAAAAAAAAATAGAGGACAAATAATGCTTGCTGAGTTCAGAACTGTTAGCGAATAAATTGTGCAAGAAAGGGAGAGATAAAGAAAAAATACTTGAGTGCTGACTATGCATCCCAGGAGGTGGCTGATATTGGTGGTTTACTGTAGAAAAATAAACAAAAACTTCGACCAAAGCAAAACTTCACTTTAAAGCCAATACAGATCGTCTGAAAGAACATTATGGGCGTATAAGAGGAGAGCGCCGTGTGAAGAAAGTAAAGAATGGAGGCTTTTTGAACTTGCCAAGTCTGTAGAGGAAAGCAAATGTAACAAATGTATGGTTAATAATCAGGTAATATTGAGAAATTAAATGCATAATAAAGCAAAGGTTTTCTCTCAGAATATGAATGAAAATGCGTTGTGATTTAAAGCTGAACAATTGTGCTTGTGTCTGCTATAATCTATGACACTTGTGGATCATGATGTTGTATTTTGCACATTTTTAATAGTAATATTTATCTAAAACAGCTTAATAAAAGAACTGACTTCTGTGTTAGAAAACTGGGGTGCTCAATGGGAACTGACATCGCCTTAAACATCATCACGACAAAGAGTCATGCAGCTGTTGGAACCTCTGAAATGTAGATTTTGTATAATATGTCTGCTTTAAAATATTCTATCCTGTTTCAGGTTCAGTGTCATCTAATTTAGCCTTGTTTTAGTCATTTTTAAATATGACTCCCAGTAAGTTAAGAAACAGATGGCCCTTTTTTCCAACATTAACTTAACAGAAAAGATAGATTTGAGCTAAATTATGTCAAGATTTTCATTAGCCTAGATCATGGTTTCCATTTAACCATGATTCATGTGACTGAGTAGCTTTATAATGTCTTCAAAAGGCAACTGCAACTGTCTATTTCCATGTCTGAGAGTTCATACTTCACTGTGACTGGAAAAACCCACCCATCACTCATTAAGACCATGGGGCAAAACACAGCATTTATACTCTCTGAATAGTATTTAGTGAAAAGATTCAGAGATGGCTCGCTTGTGCCACCATAGTTTCAGTATAGTGGTTGGATTATCTGTGCAATATGTGGTTGCTTCCATGTGTGACCACACCAGACCTGAGCTAAGCTGGATGTGAGAGGAGCAGAACTGTGCTGTGTGTGTGTGAGAGGAGCAGAACTGTGCTGTGTGTGTGTGAGAGGAGCAGAACTGTGCTGTGCATGTGAGAGGAGCAGACCAGAGCTGTGTGTGTGTGAGAGGAGCAGAACTGTGCTGTACATGTGAGAGGAGCAGAACTGAGCTGTACATGTGAGAGGAGCAGAACTGTGCTGTACATGTGAGAGGAGCAGAACTGTGCTGTACATGTGAGAGGAGCAGAACTGTGCTGTACATGTGAGAGGAGCAGAACTGTGCTGTGCATGTGAGAGGAGCAGAACTGTGCTGTACATGTGAGAGGAGCAGAACTGAGCTGTACATGTGAGAGGAGCAGAACTGAGCTGTGCGTGTGAGAGGAGCAGAGAGAGAGAGAGAGAGAGAGAGAGAGAGAGAGAGAGAGAGAGAGAGAGAGAGAGAGAGAGAGAGAGAGAGAGAGAGAGAGAGAGAGGGAGAGAGAGAGAGAGAGAGAGAGAGAGAGAGAGAGAGAGAGAGAGAGAGAGAGAGAGAGAGAGAGAGAGAGAGAGAGAGGGAGAGAGAGAGAGAGAGAGAGAGGTGACTGCAATGAAAAGGCTCCGCACGATTAACAAACACATCCAACATCTGCTCCCAGTCTGGCTCCTCTGAAACACGCCACAACTGGTTGAAAACATGGGGACATTAAGTTTGTTTAGGTGGAGGATATGACGAGCCTATGGGAATCAATTTGAATTGACAAATATCTGCAAATAAGATTTGCAGAAGATTTGAAGAATTGAACATTAGAAGAAAGTATTATAATAAAGTTTTGTCATTCTGACAGTTGAAAGTAAAGGAAACAAAAATGAATGCCTTAATAAAGCATGAAGAAATACTTAACTCATATAACAAACAAATGGTTTATTAAGAATGATTCAGTTTGGTAATTAGTTAAAAGTTAGGGTTATGACTAAGAGTCCGGGTTTTATTTTAAGGTTAGTTAAGGTATAGTTAAATGTTACCAAAAATATACAAGCTATACTTTTAAAATAATTGTTCAGTTGTCCATAACTGTAACAATTGTCAGAATTTACAGATTATTTCTTGCAAGAATCATCATCACACTAGATTTTTACATGTGAAATTCCTACAACAAGAGATGGTAAAACTGATAAAAGTAAAGTTTGTTTTCATGGCAGTAAAATGTGTCTATAATATGAGCATGTAGCTGTGTGCTGTTTCTCGCTCCATATCTTTCAGCATGATCCAAATGAAAGCCTAAGAGCAGACACAGAGGACGGGGTCTCTCTGCAGGTGAGGCAGCCTCAGCTTTGCCCTCTGGCACAAACCAACATGAGCCTGCGCACAAGAAAACATGGCTCTAGTATGTAAAGGATTTCCTCACCAGCAAAGCACTCAATGTTCAACTCTGAGCTGTCAAAAAGTACAAAAACTCCTCTCTGCAAACTCAAATGGAAGTCTCAGGTATATAAGGTTACACAGCCTTTCAAAGTATATGTATATAAACTGCACTCTCAAATTGTAGAGTGAAAATGTTAATAGTAAAAAAAAAAATCATATATATAGCCAGCCTCATAGCATCACCGCCTAGGTCATTTTTTGGCCAAATTGATTTTTCTGTCTCATTCTACTTTCCAGACCCTGCTGCATCTGTATGTGCCATTGGCTAAGCCTACGGCCAATCAAAAAGATGTTCACAATCACTGACATCTAGGCAGCTTATCTTAGTATTTTAATCAATCGGTTTGACTTAGGGATGTCACAATACTAAAATTTCATACTCAATTTCGATGCTAAGGAACAGACTCCATACTTAATAAGACTGCGATGCCATGTGATAAAAAAAATATTCCATAGTGGCCCGTGGGTGTATACTAGTCTATGTGTTCTTATACTTGCTCTGATACAGCTCAAGATCATTCTGAAGCTATTCAGGAAAGGTTCAGTTCTGTCCTATGAATGTGAATTTTTAGTATAGATACTTGCTCAAATGAATACCTTAGTAACCTAAGTCATGCAGTAAAGCAGAAGATTTGAAGAACTGAATTTAAGAAATAAAATGAGTGTAAATTTTTATAGTAAAGAATACTAATAACCAGTCTCATAGTATAATGTCTGCCAAAGTAATTTTTTGGCCAAACAGATTTTTCTGTCTCATTCTACAGTGGAGACCCTGCTGTATCTGTATGTGCCATAAGCTTCCGGCCAGACAGAAAGATTTTTACAATCAACAACACCACACGTCATCTTATTGGCATCTCGGCAGTTTATTTTTGTATTTTAATCTTGAAAAGTGACTTAGCCAATTATGTTAATGAAGGCTAATGAAATGTAGATGGATAGTAAAGATGAGATAATAATACATTTACATTTAAAGAATGATTATGCAACTTAGTTTTTGTTTTACGGCTGCCTATTTTGGACAGGGCTCAAATGAAAGAGGTTGGACCGAAACAGTAGAGTCAATATTCTGAATGCTTTTCTCACAATCA